GTGGCAATTTAGTAATTATGTGGAACTTTGATGACAAAGTTGTAGGCGGACACAGAGGTTAATAAGAGTTAATATGCAAACATTCAACCTTAACATATGTTAACAACAATGAACATTCATGAGCATAAGTTAACATTCAACGATAACATATGTTAACAACTATGAACATATATGAACAAATGTTTACATTCAACCTTAACATGCGTTAATAACTACATATTAACATGGAATATTTTACAACCGTAACATTTAAACGTTAACGTATATTAACATGTCTTAACATGAAAAACAATGAACAACTGACGTACATTAACATGAAAAACAATGAATATTAACAAACATTAATATGTAAAATATTGAATGTTAATGTACCTTAACATAAATTAACATACATATATTACTCATGAATATTAACGTATCTTAACTTAAGTTTATACAACTTAACTTTGAAAATGTTAATATACGTTAATAAATCAAACCCAACAGCTCAAGATGCAGACAGTCGAATGACCGATCTGCCCTCCCTAAGCCTTGACAACGTGGTTACTAGACGTATCGTGTGAAACAATCGTTTAATATAAATACATTTTTCATGTGAAATAAATAGTTGTATATATAAATGTGTTTTTCATGTGAATAAAATTCAACAAAACATCACATTATTAGATTTAATAATGTTTTTTTTGGTAAAATAGTTAGAAAAACGATAAGTATCGACACATGCATAAATTCCCAATAATAATCTAATATACATTACAAAAAGGCACCATGTATAATATCAAAACTTATAGTCACAATCTAAAATATATGCAATTATTAAATAAAGATAACGATAAGGATGGTGTTTGATTGGTTTGAATTTAGGCTGCAAAAATCAAAAGTATTTGGAGGTTTCAGGTTCAAATCTAAAGAGGAATAAAAATCTATTTGTAGCCATAAAAATTCAAATGCAGGGACTTCAGACTACCCACAAAGCAGATGACTATCCTAAGATTAATCAGATTACATAACAGGTTGGATATCCAAAACAATCAATAATATAATAATAACAGTGACCGACATCGTGTTTGATTATACCTTCAATAACCTTTTTTTTAAATAAAATAAAAAAATGCAAATTATTATATACTATTTAAAAGAAAAACCTTCAACTAAGTATTTTAAAAAATCGTGAAAATTGGACTTTTCCCGCTAATTAATATAAGTATTAAAATAATTAAGAGTAAATTACGGATTTTGACCCTTATGGTTTCGTAATAACTATAAGACTGATTTTCAAACTTCATTTAATATGAAAATATCTCAATATTTGCATTTTGTTTAGAAATTGGTCCTTATTGTAGCGGTCATCAACTATCTCCATCAACTAGGTCTAGGATGGCAAAATGATCACTTATTTCACGTTTTTTTTCAATTATTCATTTTTCTTATCATTAATCTTCATCAAGAAACAAACCTAAGGTAGTGTTTGGCATGTAGACAAGATTGGACAGGACAGGACGGGACATAATGGAACAGGACGGGACGGAACAGGACTAATTGTCTGTCCTATGTTTGGTACGACTAGAACAGGACATGACAAAACTGTTAAAATGACCATATTATCCCTAAATGTTGTTCAATGTTATTTTATATCATATAATGATTGTAAAATGACAACAAATCAACCAAAATATATTTTAATTACATAGTTTTTATAATCAAATTTAATACATTAAATATAAATCCAAAAAAAATGACAAAAGAGGGTTGACAAGCCAACCCGACAATCACACTTAAATATTACCCATTTTGACATGTTATTCAACCTACATTTTTTTAACATTTCAAGACCACATGTAAATAACATTTGTCATACCACAAATTCACTTGTAACATTTGTCACGACATTATCAAAASTTTAACATTCCAAGACCACATGTCAAATGTACCAAAATAAGAGATTTTGAAATCCAACAAAAAACACCCAAATGATCATTTTTGAAATCCAACAAAAAACACCCAAATGATCATTTTTGAAATCCAACAAAAAAACACCCAAATGAACCACGGCTGTAAGCACATGGNACAAAAAAACACCCAAATGAACCACGGCTGTAAGCACATGGTAAAGGTCTGAACCAGTGATCATTTTTGAAATCCAACAAAAAACACCCAAATGAAACAAGGGTGTGAGACACAAAAACCCAGATGGGATTTCACAAATAAACCTGAAATGAGAAAGAACCCAGGTGGGATTTGTGGTAAAAACAAAGGTGCAAGATTAAAAATAAGAGATTTTGAGCAAAAATTTCTTGAAAATGGAAGGAAGGAAGAAACGATGACGAAGGAGGCTGCAAAAATGGTAATTAGGTTTTCTATTGAAAGAAATAACAAGGGTAATATAGTCAATTTATATTTAGTCCCATGTTGTTCTATCTTTTTTGGTGGAACAAAAACCATCAAGTTTTGTCCCATGAAATTTAAAAATAATCTCATGTTGTCCTATGTATTTTTTGTCCATGGCATGCCAAACATGGGACTATTTTTTTTGTCTCGTCCTGTCCCATGTAGTCAGCATACCAAACGCACCTTAAAAGGCTAGATCAAAAACCCTGATTAAACACCTTAAACATCAAATTAAATCATTAAAATATAACATGCTAATTAATCAAATGCAAATACTCACTATTCAAAACTCAAATACAGATGAATAAATATAAAACGATGCATATGAACTAGATGTAGAAACTAGCTAGAGTTCATGTCAGATTTGGAGGACAATGATTGGTTTAGTGATTTCGTCTAGATCTGGAGGGGTTTTGTGGGTTTGACCCTATGTTTGGAACTGGTTCGTAGAGGGGATCGTCTTTTTTCGAGCGTTTGATCTAGGATCAACTATTCCTTGGTCCGATCATCTTCTAAAATATGGATTTTGATTGTAGAGGACGAGAGAGACTTTGGAAATTTGCTACCTAAACTTGCGGCTTTTACAAGCACAACTATCAATTACAATGTCGTTGTTACTATCAAGCATCATCAGAGAGCTAACTCGTTTGAACCCATAAACCTTAATCTACAACAAAGTTATAGTTTTAACCAAAAATTTTTTATTTTGAGTTTTTGATTTAGATTTTGTTCTTGATCTTGATGTTGGCTTTGAGATATCTTGATGTTTGATTTGTATTTAACCTTTTTGATTTAGATTTAAATATCGTTTGGTTCGTTGGAATACATGAAATCTGAAGGAATTGAATTCATTAATTCCGTTAACCAAATTTCATCCATTTATTATTTGAGTTTTAGTATGGATTTCTGGTTCATTGGGTTTTAGCAAGGATTCTTCATTTTCATATCTTATAAAAAAAGACTAAGGGGTCGTTTACCAAATGCTTACTCGAGTAAGCGCTTACCAAGTTACATTACCTTACCGGATGAACATGACAAGGACTAAGAATCTTATCTGATAAGAACGAAACAACAACTGAGAGTCTTACCCAGTAAGTGAGGGCAATGACTTTTACCACGGTCAGCTCTTATCGGGTAAATTGTTGCATAGAAAACTCTTTTTGTTGATTAAAATCTTAATCGGTAAGTAAATGATAATGTTGAATTTTACCACTGGGTGCTTACCGGGTAAGTATTTGGTAAACGGCCCCTAAATTTCTTTTATATTATTCTAATTTATTCCATCCCATCACGATAGTCGTCACCACTGCCACTATTGTGTTGCCACAACCACCTCCTCCTCATCCACCACCACCATCATCATTGTCTATGCCACCACCACCACCTCCGCCGCCACCATCACCACCACCAACGTTCTTCTTGTAGCCTCCACCATCACTACCATTGTCACCTCAGCCAACACCACCACCCTTACCATTGTCGCCATTGCTGCCTCCACCATCGTTGCCGTTGCCACCACTACCACCATGACTATCACCACCAACTAATTAATATTATTATCAGTTATATCACTATATCGTATTTTGGTCACTTTTCATTATATTGCTACAAATCAACAAGCCAAACAAACATATTTCAATTTCTTATACACATTCCATTTGAATTATCGTCAACCAAACGCATGGTCAAACCTGATCAAATTTCATTCGAGTTTCTTCAAATTCCAACTCCTTTAACATACTTCAATTACAATAAATTTCATTCTATGAACCAAACATTATATTAGTATTTATTAATTTAGACTTAAGATTTATTCCGAAGAAGATGCATACGAGGACACAGAAGATTATGAAGATTCAAGACAATAAAGAAAACTAAAAATGTTACAATAGAGAGTAAAAATGTTACAATTAAGTCGGGAAAAGGTCTTTAGCTTAGCAGTATTGTAGTCTCTGACTTTCTAAGAGATCAGGGGTTCAAGTCTCACCAAAAGTGAGGAAGGTACATGAGTTTGTTTGTTGTATTTGTCGTATATAAATATTATATATTTTTTTTAAAAAAATAGTCATTTACCAATTCTAAAATGCTAAGGATTTTTTTTGTGATAAATAAAGTTTAGGGTAATTTTCACCAAATTAAGGAGTAATTTATTGGATAATTAATTGGGAAAATAGGTGATTAGATTAGATGAGATCTTACTATTGGCTGAAAGAGGTGGCTGGATTTGTTGTCACGTGTTTCCACACATGATTGGGACTTAGGAGTAGTACCAGTACGATTCTATTTTAATCACACACATTATAATATTAAATAAAAATAATATATATATATATATATATATATTAATTTAAAGTTTCGAATATCCACATCAGAAAAAAAGACAAACCGATAATTACAATAAAATATACAATAATTTGGTATTAAAAAGTAAATAATATAAATAAATAAAATAAAACAAATAATAAAAGAGAAAGCCGAGTCAAATTGATTCGACTCGGAAGCGCCGTTAAAGATGTAGTAAACAAAAATTGGAAACCCTCTCCCACACATTATATATATATATATATATATATGTGAGAAAAAGCTCAGAAATTAAGTGGGAAGAGAGAGAGAGAGAGAGAGAGAGAGAGAGAGGCATGAGACACAGCGGGAAAAAGTTGCATTAGAATTGTGGTTTCGGAATCCTCTTTGAGTAATTTTGTTGAATCTTGGAATTTTTTTGTTGTTCATTTTGATTTCCAGTGATAAGTATCTGTAAATCTTGTGATGGTGATGGATAGTAACGAGAGTTGTAGTAGTAGGAGTCTGGAATCGTCGCCGCCGCGCACGGTGGGGAATAATTGTAACGGACACCGGCATCAGATGAAGAAGCTAGAGGTTTATAATGAGGTTCTTTGCCGACTCAAAGAGTCTAACAACGAAGAAGCTAACGAACCTGGATTTGAGGATGAACTCCTGGCTCACTTCAATCGTCTACCTACCAGGTATATATAAACCTTTACTCTTGTTATATACGGTTAGACCGTATAGTACAAATCAGATAGTTAGATGCGTTACTGTGTGTAACTCAGATATGTAAATGTAGGTTTGATGTTTTTCAATGTGCGATTGGTTGAATTAACTTTGAGATTTCATCATTTTCCATGGGAACAGCTAGCTTTTACGCCAGATTACCTCCTTCGTTTTGTTAAGTACTGGTTTTGGAGAAAACAACGGCTTCACATCTACATTAATTTACTCCATCCATCCCATCAGAATTACTTATTGACTTTTTTTTTGTCTAAACATGTTTTGTTTTCTCTTGTTAAGATCGATCTTTTGCTTGAAGAATAACTGAAAACCAATAAAATATAGGAAAAAAGATTTGAGCTGCAACAGTAAAATATGTGGGCCAAATTTGAGTTTGAAATTTAATGGCTTGAATTCGAACCTAAAGTGGACGATGGGGAACTTATCTAATCGCGTTCCTAATAACTGTATTTAATTTGGTTTTGTACACATCAAGCGATCGTCAACAGCTATCGTTATTATTATTATTTCGTTTTTGTATTTCTTTTTGGATAGAATTATGTTTAATGAAGGTAGAGTTTGCTTTTTGATGGTCTTAGCAATTAAATTCATATGATAATGGTTAGGCAACATGAGGGTTGGAATAATTGAATTAATTTTGATGTATTTCAATTATATGGTGCACTGAATGTATGCATTTGATTCAGAATCAAAAATTGTTGCATACAGCTAATTTGTTTTATCTGGGACAATTATGAATACTAATTTTTTTTTCTTTGCTCAAAGTTCAGATTGAAATGTTAAATAATATGGTATCTAGATTCTCTCTACCATTTTTCTCAAATGCACACATACAAACTACAATAAGTGGATAATGCAATCATAGTTGATGAATTCTATATGCTGCATTGAAGGTATGCACTTGATGTAAACGTAGAAAGGGCTGAAGATGTACTCATGCACAAACGGTTACTGCATCTAGCACATGATCCTGCTAATAGGCCTGCATTCGAGGTCCGGCTAGTACAGGTTAGCTCATGTGCCTAGACTTCCAACAAATTTATTGGGAAATTATGAGCTTATGAATGGCCTTCTTTCATCCAATTATCTATCATGGCGATCGTTTAGCTGGTTTGGTTTTGTCTAATTCACCTACTTGTCAAAATTATCCTTTCCATTGTTCATTAATGGGGACAAGTGAAACTATCATCATCCTGGGTTGAATTTGTGGTTGACACTTTTTTGGTTGGAACTTTAAATGAATTTATTAACAGAAAAAAGAGCATAAGCTATTTGATTTGCAGCAGTCTTGTACAATTTATTAAGCTGACACTTTTTTTGGTTGGAACTTTACATGAATATATCAACAAAAAAACATGAGCTATTTGTATGCAGCAGTCTTGTACAATTTACTCTAAAACTGAGTAGTTCAGTCTAAAGTTAGCAAAAAGAGGGTGTCAGTTTGAAGTCACAAGGCTCAACTTAAGACTTATGTTTTGAAATGGATGTGGTGATCCATAATGTGTCCAATTGGCATGGCTGCATTAAGTACACCTAACTTCTTCTTCTGGTACGTTATAGCCTTTACACCTTGGTTTTCTGGTGTTGCATGGAAGTCTTGTAAATGAGTAAACCTAGAGGGAAGTCCTGAACTCTAGATGCTTCAGTGCATGCAGCAGTAGCTTTTTCTAATCTCTGAAAGGTGCATGTATTGTGCCTAAGTGCAACGCTTGAGTGGGTCTCTTCTTAATTTTATGAAGACAGGCTTCTCTATATTTTATGCATGCTTGACCCATTTTCTAAGCTACCACTTTGCGCCTTCATAATTTATTGACCACACGATGACATATTTAATACCTCAAAAGCTGCAAAAAACTGACTGGCTCCATAAGAACTTGATCTTTTGCATTGAGTACTCCATTAAAAAAATGCGCAAGGATACGTGTTGGACATGACGATTGACGCCAGCTGAATTAGGCCAAGTATGTGTATGCATTTTGTAGTTATTGGTTTAAGGGTTTGAATCCATGATCATTGGAACTCTTGAAGTTCACTATTGGAGTTAGTGGCCAAGAAGAGTTTGTTGTATATATGCATATATACTTTTTGAATTTGGCATACTTCAAGAGTTTTTCTTTTCGTAATTTTAGTTGCCTGTTCTAAGTCAATTGTTAAGGGCATGTTCTATTTGTGTTTTTCTCTTCTTTTTCTGATGGTGTAGCAGGTCTGAATTCCATTCTTTATATGCAGGTTTCTCCAACAACCGATGGCAGCTCTGATGATTTAGTTTATTCCAGCGCTCCTAGACAGCAATCTGCCCAGAGGTAAACATTGAAGGATCATAACATTCCACCAATATTTTGTTTCTTTAACTCATTGAATTTAAATGCAAGTGGAACTCCAATGGTCTTCTTAAGCTCCTTTCGCCCCAATTCAAACAGCCCATCAGGCCTACTAATTAGTTTTTTTCTTTTGTTTCTTTAGGTCTTACTTTTCTGCACCTTTTATGTTATTAAATGATGATTTGTTTATGATAGCATTCATCCACCACCTGCCTTTGGGTCATCACCTAATCTAGAAGCCCTTGCACTTGAAGCAAATGAGTCTGAAGTTCAGAATGGGGACAGTGCTGTAAATAGCTATCCAACTCTTCCCAGGTATAGAAGTGGAGGAAAGCTTTCATTTTTTGCTTTGACTTGAGATATTAGACTGTCTTAATGGATGCAATAGCAGAAACATGTCACTCTACAAAAAACATTTAAATTTGCTTTGTTTTACTGTATTAAATCATACCAATTAATGCATTAGGATGTTGTAAGTTATATGAGAATCACTTGGACATCTCACTTTGTTATTATGGTATATTGCAGTCTTTTCCTCGAAGAAATCTTACATCTTATTGGTACTTTTAAGTTAAACACAGTTGCCCTTCATTACATTTTATTGTGACGCTCTTTTATGTAATTCTTATTCAGGCCTATGCACGAAATTACCTTTTCAACAGATGACAAACCAAAGCTTCTGAGTCAGGTGCTTCTTTGTTCTCTTAACAGTAGATGTATCAAGTTTGGAGTTTTCACATGGTTCTGCAAATTTTCCATAGAATTCTCCAATAGATTCTCAAGTTCGGTGTACAATTCCCATTAACCTGCTTCTTTGCTTGTTGTCTTCTTGGTCATTTGGTTTTTTATACAAGATGAGGTACTACATACCGTATATAGTTTACCATTTCACAAGGCATGAATCTGAGGCAACTGAATGAGAAATAAATGCCAAGAGTCCAGTTATTTACATCTTATCAACCTTCTTCGATTAGCTTTTGGCACTTAACAAATACTTAAATGTTCAAAATTTTCAGTTGACATCCTTGCTGGCTGAAGTCGGACTGAACATCCAGGAAGCACATGCTTTTTCCACAGTAGATCGCTACTCATTAGATGTATTCGTTGTTGATGGTTGGCCATATGAGGTATCCTCGTGCTCTTTCATTCATGTGAGATAAGAAAGTTAGTTGCATGAACTTGTTGTCTACAATCAAAGTTAAGCACTTATAGGGGGCGTTTGGTTTGATGGAATGGTTTTGAGGGATTTGGATTTAGTGGAAGGATTTGGAATGGGAGGGATTTGGATTTGGAATCTTTGGTGTGCTTGGTTTGATGGATTTGGGATAGAATGGAATTCCATTTCTTTTAAATCATTTATAATAGCAAATTATAAATAATTATAAAAATAATCAAATTACCTTTTTATTAATGAATTATTAGAAAAGAAATGTTTAACATATTTTAGAACATTATTATATATAAATCCTACGAAATCCCAACCACCCCCGTGGGATTTCAAAATCCTATGTTTGAGGGATTTCAATGAAGTACCGGGATTTCAAATCCAGGAAATCCTTCAAACCAAACATGGGATTGGGATGGAATTCAATTCCAAATCCAATGCAATCCCGCAAACCAAACAAACCCTTATTGCCTGCCACTCTACGGCCTCAGTTTAACTTTGAGGGTCAGATTGACAATTTATTGGTTGCTTTTACATTGGATTACTTATTATTCATATCTCTACTTTCTCTGTTGGTAGTTCTTCTTAAAACTTTACAAGGATCATGATTCTTTGTCTCAAAGATTGAGTGAATTAAAAAAATTAATTCCAAACGTATGTCAATTTGACTCTTAAAATTCAACCTCATCGCTTGTTAGAAAATGTAGGGAGTTTATTCTTTGCGGGATTGGATAGTTCTCTGATGTAGTTCTTCATTCTACTAACTGTTTATTTATTGAAATAGCATGTCCTCTGGTAACTGTACAACATCAGTTTTAATATTTGACTCGTAGTATTTGCTACTACACTGGTCAGCAGTTTCAGAAACACCAATAAATGTCAAGGCATGTTGTGTGTTTAAGGAGCCATGATGCTTGGTCCATTTGGCTGTCCTTTTTATGGAAATTTGTTCATACTTTCAGGAAACTGATCAGCTCCAAAGTGCATTAGAAAGAGAACTTTTTAAGCTTGAGGTAAATACCTGCCGGTTAAGATTCATGTCTTGATATGACTACAAGGTAGATGTATCTGCTTTGTACATCCATATGCTGTTATTACTGTATCTTGCAAGAACTTTGTTGCCATATTAGAACCTCACATCTAAAGCAGGAGTCTGTATAATATGTTGAAGCCCCACTTCGACTTTTGGACCATTTCTCCTCAATATATGTTAGAACCTCCGTCTCTCCACAAGGATTCTTTTGGAGAGCAATCTGATGTGGTTCCACATATTCTCACATGGTATCAAAGCCAAGTTCCACCAATTGACACTCTGAGACAATCTGTGCCCATTTAGCCTTTGTTGGAGGGGGCGTGTTGGAGTCCCATATCGGCTAAGACTTGGACCCTCTCTTCAATATAAGTTGGAACCTCCCTTCTCTCGTCAAGGGATCTTTTGGAGAGTAATCTGATGGGGTTCCACGTATTGCCACAATGTCATTCATAATTAAACGAAGTGCCATCAATGGAATCTGGTCTCATCGTCTTTGGTGAAAAGAGTAGACTTTTATGTATATATCACTTAATCCAGGACCATCATTTTTGGTTTGGTTATGACATGACATGTTCTCATGATCTACCCTTTGACAAAATATCTACGTGTTTGCAAATTGATACGAACAACTTGTGTTTCAACAAGATTGTTGTCGAAGCTTTACAGCTCATGTACCTTGGTGTCTGCAACTACCATGGTCGCCTTTGCTTAACCAATGTCCATTTCTCGGCCTTTCTTTTTGTCCATACAAATTTTCAGCTCAAGTGAAGATCTTGTTCATATAATACGTGGTCATTCAATAGCCATTGTAAATATTGTGTGGGTGAATAAGGTCATACGAATAGGTTCTTTTATTATTTTGGTCATGTTTAAAGACTTTCAGATAGTTAATTTACTAGAACATCAGCTATTTGTTGTATTTTAAATAAATTCATGCTAGTGGAGATAGAATGTTGGTGACCTATGTTCCACAATCGTGTTTGCAAACCAGGTGTCCTTGAACTTTAGATGTTAGGTGGATGCATAGGAAAATAAAAATAATGCCAAACTGTAAAATGTGTTAATAAGCAGAATCGTAGTATCAGTTAGAGATAAAGAAAGGTAGAATCTCTACAATGGTTGCATAATGTTAAACAAGCAACTGGTCATCACTGATTTGTTGAATTCCATTAATTCTCCTTCAGTTAATTTCTCTTTTATGTCTAAAAGTTTATCATATGTGGCATATTAAAATTGCATAAAGACTAGAGATTGGTCAAGCAATATTATCATTCTGTAAATCGTATCGTAGTTACACTTGTCTTTGATCTTTTAGAGTTCACTTGTTTTTGTCAAGTTACCGTTGAAGTCACAAAAGTTTAATTTCTTTGTGCCAATCTTCTGCTATGATACCCCTCTTTTGAATGTGGATTGCAAATTTGATTTGTGTAGAAACAGTCGTTGCCAAATCAACATTTATTGTCTCCTTTAAGTGAGCTGGACCAAACTGGCACGCCATGCCAACTTAATCACCTAACAATACCTCATGATGGGACTGATGTTTGGGAAGTTGATCCTCGGTATTTGATGCTCGACCACAAAGTTGCATCCGGGTCATATGGTGATCTGTAAGTCTTTAATAACCTAACTTATTTTGGTTACATTCAAGATTTTCATTCGAGTCACATGTGGATTTGAATTTTATTACTTGATGTGTGTTCTAATTTAGATATAAAGGCACATACCGTAGTCAAGAAGTGGCTATCAAGATACTCAAGACGGAGCGCGTAAACACAGATATACAGAAAGAATTTGCCCAAGAAGTTTACATCTTGAGGTCAGTCAATAATCATTTGTGCATATTTGCAGCGTTTGACTGTATGGTGGAATACACCTACAACTATGAAAGCTTATGTTAATCTTTCCACATGCCATTCTTTTACATCTACTATATCCACTAAACTTGGTCCCTTTTTTGAATTGTATTGTTGTTCCATATACATGAATTTCAATAAGATTTACTGTGTGCTAAGTGATTCCTCTTGGTTATGAGCAGGAAAGTCCGGCATAAGAATGTTGTGCAGTTCATAGGAGCATGTACCAAACCTCCAAGCTTGTGCATTGTAACTGGTAATAACATATTTTCTGTCAGAAGTATTTCCAGATTCGTAATGGACCACCACCTCTGTCCCATTATCTGTTTTCCCATTGCCATTGCTTCAACCTATTGGTGCTGTTGGTTGTGGTTGGTTGACAAGATTCCTTTATTGTCGTTATTGGAGGTCATTCAAGACAATGTAGAAATAGTGAAACACACTCGTAGAAGCATATGTGAAGTCAAATGTTTCTCATGGGACAGGGAGGATTTTTAAAATTTTAAAACCTTTCCTGTTTCACTGTTGATTAATAATCTTTTGCTTTTGTCGAACTCAGAATTCATGAGCGGGGGAAGTGTGTATGACTATTTACACAAACAAAAGGGTACATTTAAGCTTCCAACATTGCTCAAGATTTCAATTGATATATCAAAGGGTATGAACTACCTGCACCAGAATAACATAATACACAGGGACCTCAAGGCTGCAAATCTTCTTCTGGATGAACATGATGTAAGATGCTCACTCTTTCTATAGTAATCCTGTTATTAATGAAGCTTCTTATCACTTCCTACTGAAAGTTCATTACACTTGATGCCAACTCCCTTTATGGAATTCACTTATCTGTTCATTTGATAAATGCATACAATATCTTTGGTTTCAGGTTGTTAAGGTAGCTGATTTTGGTGTTGCTAGAGTGAAGGCTCAGACAGGTGTCATGACAGCAGAAACTGGGACATACCGATGGATGGCTCCTGAGGTACCTCTATCATGTCAAACTTTCTCTATGATATTTTGATCCAGCAAGTGTTTAACAGTTGTATGCATCTTGAATTCTTCAAATATTGGCATATATAACACTTGTGTATTATGTATGTTTTAGGTCTTTAAGATAATGCATAGGGTATAATTTTTGTGTTAGATAAAATAGAGACACGAAGAAACTGCGATGAATGCAGTTTGGAAAAAAGAAAAGGAAAATCTAACCAGTTTCAGTGACAATTATGAAATCAAGGATACGGAGGTGTGTTCATATGTGTGTATGAAATACACAAGCCCAAAGACAAAAATGACCATATTAGCAGATTCTATTTTCAATTTATGGTTTACATGTTTGAGGTTGATTTTGCATAATGACATTTCTTTTTTATGAAGGTTATTGAACACAAGCCCTATGATCACAAAGCTGATGTTTTCAGTTTTGGGGTTGTATTATGGGAGTTACTAACCGGAAAGGTACTTTTTTTTCTTTCAGCAATTTGTCATTAGTTGGGATTGTTATAATTTATATACTTTTTTGCATATATTTGTTCGTTCAGCTTCCATACGAGTACTTAACCCCTCTACAAGCAGCTGTCGGTGTGGTTCAAAAGGTGATTGTTATTCCCTTCAATCCAGTCAAAAGAAAATAATCTTTTGTTAGAAAGTTGGATCGATAGCATGGCAAATAAACGAAATCCTTAATTTGTTATTTCCATATTACAGGGGTTACGACCTACTATTCCAAAGAACACACAGCCAAAACTGGCAGAGCTGCTTGAGAGATGCTGGCAACAAGATCCAAGTTTGAGACCTGACTTTACAGAAATCATAGATATTCTAAAGCAGATAGCTAAGGAGGTACACCATCTAATCTGTGCTTAATATATTCTTATGAAAAAGATGTATCCTTATTTACTAGATGATATTTGGTGTTTTTAGGTTGGAGAAGAAGCATCAGCAGCAGATGATCGACGCAGAGACAAAGGATTTCTATCGGTACTTAGACGGGGGAATCAATGAAAACATACATACAAAAGAAACATTGGGACGAATCACTATCTCTGTGCAAGCAGACCTTCAAAGGACTTCGGCTAACCTGTGAAATATTCTTCTATTAATTAATTTACACTTGATTTATTTGTTTTTAACATGCAACTTAATTTGTAGATTATTATTATTATTATTATTATTATTATTATATTGTATTCTTAATTTAAATATGGTATATTTTTCTTTCCCTATAATTATGTTATATTAAAAACTAGTAGTATCTGTATACCCATACACATTAAGCTTCAATGGATGGATTTTTTTTCATATATTGTTGGAATAATATATAAGCAAACGGCAGACTTTTATAGGATACCATGCATGTTATATGTTTGGTGGATGCTAATTTTATGTTAGAGCATGTATATCACATTCTTCTTTGTTTCCTGTAACTAAGAATATATATATATATATATCTATATCTATATCTATATCTATATCTATATCTATACTATCTTATAAAGCAAATTTAGCAAAAAATAAAAAAGTCTTAAAGTCTTAAAATACTAAATGACCAAGATACCTTTTATATCTTTTTTCATTTTTTCACCCCCTCCCCTCCTCTCCTCACATATACTCATCCTTTCACAACTGATTGTTTTTAAAATTATAATTTTAAATTTACACTTTATACCTCTATAATTAGTTGATTAATTTACTTTACGTCTTTTACTTTTAAATGTTTCATTTTAAACCTTTATCGAATTAATATATATAATCGTATATCAATTAAAACATGTTTAAAAAATACATTTTTATTTTAACAAGTTACACCATTATAATCATCTCTTTAATACCTTCGAAATGAGTCCAATATTGAATAGTTTTTGACTTAATTGTATTATTATGTATTATATATATTGTGAAAAAATATTTTTAATATTTACAATATATACTTTTATAGTTATTTATATATATATATATATATATATATATATACTATATATTTTGGGGTTAGGCTGTCTAAATTGCACTATATAATATGTTTTGAATTAATATGTTCTTGGGTTTTTTTGAAATATATATATATATATATATATATATATATATATATATACATGTCTTAATTCAACCTTAATCNGAAATATATATATATATATATATATATATATATATATATATACATGTCTTAATTCAACCTTAATCTGAGTTTTTGGACAAGAAAGAGGGTAAACAGTTGAAATTTCATTCTAAAACTCATCTTTTTTGGTCTTTTCATGGCTTATGATCTGTTAAATTTGTAGTTTTCTTTATTGGTTATGAATGTTTATCTTAAAACTCAAGTTTCTTGGTTCTTTGCTCTTTGTGTAAATTGAACACATTTGTGGAGTCGTTTAAATATATTGGATTTTAAACTGTCATACAATTTTTTTCATCGATAGTTTGTAATTAGAACCATAACTCTTATTTATTCAAATTGTATTAATATGTAAAGACCAAGTGTAACCTATATCATCGTTAAATCTTATCTTATAAAACCAGTGGAACTTCAAAATTGTTAAAATTCAGGGTTTCTGCCGCATTGCCGGGTACACAACTAGTATATACATACACACTTGAGATCATATGAGACCAGATTGTTTTTGTAAGACACGTGAAACAAGTTTTTTACACTTGAAACTTCATTGTAAAATGTCGTGAAGATTACATTTGTTTTGAAATAAAATCAAGTACATAATTAAATATTATGGGCACAGACATCGGAGATAATTTAGTCTTATGGTTCTTCATTATTTGCACACGCAACCAGCTGCAACCACAAATTCTGCCTCAGTGGTGGAAAGAGTGCCAATCGGCTGTCATTTTGATGACCAAGCTATTGTAGCATTGCTTAAGAAGAAAGCATAACCAGAGGTGCTTTCCTACTATCTGAATCCTTTGCATAATCACTATCTGAAAACCTATCTCCATAACCGGAGAGACCTCTGGCGGGATGATCGATCATAGTTCACCCTACTATCTCCATCTGTCTGACTATCCTAAACAACTTCACGCCAACGACATCGTCATCGATAACAAGTACTCGGATTGGTCACAAGAGATGGGACACTTTCTCTTCGCCAAAAACAAATTCGAGTTCATTGATGGTACCATCAAGAAACCGGAGAAAGGGTCCACCAACTACATGTCATGGATGCGATGTGACGCGACGATAAAAGGGTGGCTTACCACCGCCATGGAAAAGAACATTCACAATAGCGTAAAGTATGCAAGCACCGCATAGGAGATATGGTCAGACCTACTTGAGAGGTTTGGCAAAGACAGCACCCCCCGGAACTACGAACTAAAACAGAAAGTCACTACCACCTGACAGGATGATGTATCCATATCAATATACTATACCCATCTTTGATCATTGTGTGACGAAACCTAATCGATTCAACCTCTCCCTTGTTGTGCATGTGACGAATGTTCATGTGGTATTGGCAAGAAGATGATCGAATACCAAGAGAAGAAGCGTTTGTATGAGTTCCTTATGGGTTTGGATGTTGATTTTACTTTGATCAAAACCCAAATATTAGCCACTAAGCCACCTCCTTCCTTAGGAACAACCTACCATATGGTGGCAGAAGATGAGAGACAAAAGGCGATTTCGACTGATAAAAGAAGACCACCTGAATCCGTTGCATTCAAGGCCTCACAGAAATGAGATCATAGTATCGCCAACCAACCAAAGGAAAGAAGCTATCCAAGGAATGTGAGAGACAACAAAGAAAGTAAAAAAAAAACGAGCATTGCACGTTTTGCGGGAGAAACGGCCATAAACGAGAAGGATGTTTCAAACTAGTTGGGTATCCGGAATGGTGGCTCGGGAAGAAAAGGGAGAAGGTCAAACCGAAGTCCGCCTGCACCGAGTCCGCCTCGAGTCCCATACAAGGCCTAACCAATGAACAATATCAATTGTTCATTAAACACTTTTCTGGAACCGACAACAACGAAGGAATGATAACCGATTTGATTTCATAAATGAGTATATTCAAGGTGATGAGCCTCAAGGTCAAACCGATACCAGGAGTAGGAGACACAAGTCACAACCAAAGCATTTTGATGATTACATCGTGAAGCTTCCCCCTTCGGTCGATCACAAACAACCCGCCTCCAATCAAGAAGCCTCGACGATACACCCCGTCTCAAATTTTATATTTCATATGAAATTTTTTCAAATAATCATAAAGCTTTCTTGATAGCCATTACTTCCAACGGTGAGCCGAAAAGTTTTAAGCAGGCGTCTCAAGATGAACGTTGGCGACAAGCCATGCTGCAAGAAATCAAAGCTCTTGAAAAGAATGGGACTTGGATTTGACAAACTTATCGAAAGGGAAGCGGACAATCGACTTGCAATGGGTCTATAAAATAAAATTAAAAACCTAGTGGTGAAGTGGAACGATATAAGGCCCAACTAGTCGCAAAGGGGTTCACTCAATTTGAGGGGGTAGACTATCACAATTTGTTTGCCCCAGTTGCCAAACTAGTGACCGTTCGGACTCTCTTAGCGATTGCTACAAAGAAAAACTGGATCATTCACCAACTTGACGTCAATAATGCGTTTCTTCATGGTGACCTGGATGAGAAAGTTTACATGAAAATTCCTCAAGGCTTTTCCCAAGAAAACGAAACACGAGTTTGTCGCTACAAAAGTCTCTCTACGGTTTGAAACAAGCTTCTCGGAACTGGTATCACAAGTTCACTGCCTTCCTTTTGAACCTAAATTTTCGTCAATCCAAGGCTAATCATTCCTTGTTCATGTATGGGAAAGAAGAATCCTCTATTGCCATCTTAATCTATGTGGACAACGTCATCATAGTTGGAAATAATTTTGAATGGATCCAACACACCAAAATGCAACTTGACAAAGCATTCAACATCAAAGATATTGGTCCTTTAAAATACTTCCTTGGGATTGAAGTTGCAAAAACATCCGACGGTTTGGTTCTGAGTCAAATAAAATATATCCTGGACATCCTTGAAGATAGTGGAATGATGGGATGCAGACCAAGTCCTTTCCCCACCGAACAGAATTTAAACCTAGACAAAGGAGAGAATAAGACTCAAGTTGACGCTGGCCAATATCGTCAACTAGTTGGTCGGTTACTTCACCTCCAAGCTACACGTCCTGACATCACGCATGTTGTCAACATCCTGAGTCAATTTGTTGCTGACCCACGACGCAATCATATGGAAGCTGCGAATCGTGTTTTAAGATACTTAAAAGGTACACCGAGACAAGGGAGATCCCTTGAGCCAGAGAGCTGGTTCTAACTGCCTTTTCCGACTCTGATATCAAGCTAATCCGAAAAATTCACACTTATCTTCTGTGAAAAAGATTTTCATGTATCTAAAAGGCTTTCCAACCTTGGTCTTTGATATCCAAGGACACGGGGTTTAAACTAATTGGTTACTCAGATTCTGACTACGCATGTTATCAAATAGATAGGAAAAGTACTACCAGAAGTTGGCAACTTTTTGGTGAAAAACTTGTAAGTTGGTCAAGCAAGAAATAAAACTTTGTATCAACGTCTACTGCTAAAGATGAATATGTAGCTATCGGAAGCTGTACAACTCAAATTTTATGGATGAAACATCAACTTTCTAATTATGACATAAAATTTGTTGTTATACCTATCCTGTGTGATAATTCAAGGGACATAGTTATTGCCAACAATCCTGCTCTACACTCAAGGACCAAAAATATTGATATCATATACCATTTCATCAGATGAAACAAGGTTCAAGTTTTTAATAAATGATTTGAGAATGTTAAAATATTAAAAACTAAAATTGTATGAATGAGAAGTCATATGTTAGCTCATCAGTTCATTGCAATATTCTTAGCATTTTTCATTAAATAATTATAAAAAATAAAATATAAATGCTACATCATCCTATGTAACTAAATCCGATCCAACAAAAGAAGAAGAGCTCCCATCCAACAGATCTTAGGTATTATCATCTTTCTCTTTATCCTTCTATAGACTTCTTTCTTCGGAATCCTCTTGGATTAACCATATGATTTGAAACTCATTCGATTTGATCAATTTATCTAATTACTAGTTTTCTTCATGGTATTTATCAACCATCAAATCCCATCTAAATCTTTGATCCTTCAGAATTTCTTCTCATCCAAAACCACAATTATCCAATTTGAACACTTCCAATTCAATTTTCACCTTCCTCTTCCTTGCACTATAAAGTTTGAAGATTTTGCCTCTAATAAAGATCTTGAAGATGTTCTCTCTTTTTTAGTACAGGTCAACTGACCCTTCAGT